AGCAGTCTATGCAAATTGAAAATCCAAGGAATTGGTTGGGGCTGGGCCGGTGTAATCTGGATTTACAGCATTGTCTTCTACATACCGTTGGATATTTTCAAGTTCATCATTCGATATGCACTGACTGGCAGGGCGTGGAATACTTTAACTGATAACAGGGTATTTTATGATTGTTAGGGATTCATGTAGGGACTAAAGTTTAGTTTGTTGTTATTCTCATCTAATAATTTACTTTTTCTTGTTTCTCGAATTTTACAGACTGCCTTGACATCGAAGAAGGATTATGGTCGAGGAGAAAGGGAAGCACAGTGGGCTATGGCTCAACGCACGCTACATGGCCTCCAGCCACCAGAGACTTCTGAGCTTTTAAATGACAAAAAGAGCTACCAAGAGTTGTCTGAAATCGCTGAACAGGCCAAACGACGGGCTGAAGTTGCAAGGCTGAGAGAGCTTCACGCTCTTAAGGGTCATGTCGAATCAGTGGTGAAGCTCAAGGGTCTTGACATCGAGACAATTCAGCAACACTACATTGTTTGATAGCACGACTAAGAGCATATAATTGGATTTTCCGAAGGAGAGAGACAATATCAGAATAAAGATGTTCTTTTTTGTCTTCGGTTATTGTTCAAATTGGTGGAAACAATGATGAAATCTTGGAATAATCCAACAAGAGAAGTTGAATTCATCAGTAGTAGGGCTTAGAATGAGTTTAGTTTTGACATTATGTAGCAGTTAATTTGCATTAATGTTCAAACATTAAATTTTGCTAATTAGAACTGTAAAGAAATATTTCCTATTTGTAATCATTCAATTTATAGTTTTACATCTTATATTATTCCTCCTATCCTTGTCATCATAGTATTCTGTCATTTGCCAAAACTATTTTACATTCCAAGCTTTCGAAACAATAACGGTTGAGCAGAGTCTGGTTTTATAGTAAAAAAAATCATACTAATTTCTTGAACAAGTTCTACAATCTTTTACAATTTGAGTTTTCTGTTTCGAGTACTAAAATTGAGATGGATCATACCATCAAGTTCTTGGTTCTAGACCAGAAACGTATAAGGAAAATAGACCGAACTGGCAAGTTCGATCCGGTACTCTTGTCCACCTCAAAAAAGCACAATAAATTTAACATCTCTTGAGGTGAAAGAAAATGATCGATTGATGACTTACACTTACAATTTAGGCAAAAACAATTATATAACAACTAATCATCGACCGTTATAGCAACTTTCAATAACAATTCGTTACCCTCATTGATGACATTTCATCGACTGGTTTCCATATTTCCACCACGTGGCTTATTCTTCTCTGATGCTTTCAAGATTTGGTTGCCAATTATTATCCAAAGAAGTCAGTTTGACAGTAGGATTATCAGACCCTCCCTTTCCAGTACTACTAACTGTTTCCTTATTTCTCTTCTTGGTAAGTGATTTTGTCTCATCAGAAGCAAAACTGCTAGACGAATTCATTTCCTCACTCGAAATATTATTTGTGCTGCTGCCTTTCATCTTTATCCCTGTTACTGTTAGCAAACACGTCGAGCAATTCATTAGCTGATGATCATCGCCTTTCTTGTTTTTGAACAACCAGCAATTCTGCGATTTTCCTTTGCAGTTATCTTGACTTTCTCGACCGGGAAAGTTGTTGGAGGCCGAATGCTTCAATTGAAGTTTTCTGATGGTGCTGAGAGGAACGACGTAATATTTTTCGCCGGGCATTAGGGTGGCGCGGGAGGAACAATTTCCCATGGATGGCGGAACACAGTCGGCTGCGTGACACAGCATTTGGGATTCCGACGAAGAAAGTCGGAGACGAAAATAGGCCTGTCGTGTAGTTCTACATGGCCACCTGGATGAACAATCTTAACAAACATGGTTTTGGTATTATTAGTGCATAGCCAGCTTGATAATAAGGCCATAATGATAATGGTTTCTCTTCTTCTTCCTCCTTTATGTTTGTAAGCTTGAGCATGGAAGGTAATAGGAATGGCTATAAGGATACATTTATAGTTCGGCAAGAATTTCCATACAGTGTTGGATTAAGGTGAGTATTTATTAATACTGAAATTAAAAATCAATAAAATACGAACTTAGGAGGCAGAAATTCGACCTAACATCTAACTAGTAAAAATTTAGTCCCTCAATCAAAATTAGCATTAAGAAAATCATGTCACACCCCCTTAATTAGAAGGAAATTCGTAAACAAATAAATTAAATTGTCGTAATAAAAAATACTTTTGTACTGTAGAAGCATATCTTTCTTGTGGAAATAAAATACATTCTAGTAAGTGCAAATATTTCATGGTTATAGCTATCTATTCATTGCGTATCGGCTTTAAGAGCATCTTAGCATAATTGTGAAGGTGAACTCGAGAATTTAAAAATATGCAAAGGTTACAAGTCGAAGTCTCGTAATTAGTCATTTTATGAAATGTGAATTTTTTTTTTTTCAAAAAAAAAATATATACATGGGGAGACATGTTGAAAATTAAACTCAAATAAGTATTCCTCTCTAATTCTTTAATTTATTTGAATGACGAGATTTGACGTATACGATAGCACAATTTCGACTATTGGTCGATGAGAAAGGACACGCTGCTGAATATGTTTTTCCATGACTCGTTTTGATTATGTCTAAACCTTCGGTAATTCCGTGACAATTAAGTATTGTTTATTTTATTAGATATGGACAGGAAATATTTGTTATTTGTATATAGTATTGTACTGAAATTAGAAATCAAAGACAAAATCGGATCATATTACAGTTTAACTGTCGTTTATATTTTTATTCTGCAAAGCTCTCGTACTTTAAAGTCTGATTTATTTTTTCATCAATAATAATGTAATTTTCATTAATAAACAATAGTGAGACTTGGACGAGTAACAATTGAAATTGGAAGAGATATTTTATCTAGCTGTCTTGTGATTTTAAGCAAATTTTTTGGGTGTTTCAAATATTTGTATTATTATCTTGTGAAAAATAGTTGTGATATTATAAAGAAAGAATAAAAATATATTTTATTCATTTGTTATATTTTACAAAACGTAAGAAAAAACAAAAAAAAAAAATGAGGGAGAAAATAAAATTTTGTTTGTAATACCAATGGGCCCTTGCCTATTAGTAAATGGACAGTGTTGGGCGTACAGGTCCAGCACCTTACAGGGGTCCTACCGACCTCTCACATGGGGTAGGTTTTTTTTTTTTTTTTAATGGCGTCGGGGCCCACATGGGGCCGATTCCTGTGAGGGGTCGGTAAGACCTTTGTGAACAAAGCCCTGTATTGTTAGTGAATAAAACATCATTGGTGATTTTTGATGACATAATTGTCAGTAATTGCTAGTCTCAATCACTAATATATATTATTTCACACAACATCATATAATTGACGATTACTAATTGTTTTTCATTGAAATGGAGTTCTCATGAAAATGGTACCCAGACCCTAGAACTTGATCAAAAGGAATACGGGGTAGAGACGGGAGGGAAATGGAGTTCTCATGAAAATGGTACTTGGACTATGATATATTGGTCATTATCAACAATATAATGTCAATAATTTCTTCTAAACCACTAGTATATATCGATTTCAATTAGATTCATCAATGGTCATATTGTCGGTAACCATTAAAATATCATAGGTGATTTTCAATATCATTAACGACATTGTCATCAAGAAATCCATGGTGAAGATATTGTTGGAAAAAATGGGTTAAGTGGCTAATTTTGACACAAAATTTGAGTGAGACCTGATTGACTATTTTGGAAGTTCAAGATTGATTTGCGTTCTCCTCCGTGAAAACATCAAAATCATGTATTTATTTGCCAAAAATAATATTCGAGTGAATGAGAAATTGGAGTTCAAAGTGTGCCGATTAAAAGGAGTTTATGTTGTTAGAGGAAAACTATTTAAAGCTTGTCCCACATTATGAAAAGAAATACAACCTTAAACAGGATTTTACTTTGGAATAGTGTGATCATGTGTAGCATAGAGACTTTCTCTATCTGCACATGCAGGGGGGAAATCAATCTGAAATAAGCTTTGGACGTAAAAATCAACCCCTTAAAAGAGCCTACGTTTGCTAATTTTTTCCTCCAACTATTTCTTTGAATTTCAAAACTGTTGAAACTCCTATATTCGGTGCCATTATATACGGGTTAATGGCATTTATGGTAAAATAACCTATAAATTCAACCCGGTTTCTTTCAATTCCACACAAGAAGGAAAACTAGGGAATACGGTATATAGTTTCTGCTTTCATACAGTACATAGTTTCTACGTAAAATTTTCATACAGAATATAGTCTCGTGTATGTCCAAAAAAATTGATTGGTGATTCTGTTCAACGCAAATTCTGTTCGCCCAAGTAGTACTTAAGGTGCTCAAATTCTATCGTTGATTCATTGTATCCTGGAAAACAGACGATGAATTCAATCATCAAGCAACTACAGTGAGATAGTGAATCTATTTTAAAGAAACTATGTTCTCACAGGCTTCGATTAATTTTTTTTTTGCTAATTAGTTTACTTGTTTTGTTTGTTAAAATTAATCTACTTTATTTGGCCAACTAAATTAATTTGTTCAAATTAATTTGTTTATTTTATTGCAAATTAAATCTACTATATTTTATCAAGTTCACTGCATATATAGTATATGCAAGATCGGTATATGCTAATATGGTAAGTTGTTGTATATACAGTAAGCTGTTGCATATACGGTATGGTATTGCAAATACTGCATATACGGTAAGTTGTAAATACGATAATCTGCATATACGATGTGGGTAAACACGGTATGTTGCATATACGGTATACATAAATCCAATATCTAAATTGCATATGCAGTATGTATTAATCTGGTATTCATTCCTAACCATTCCATTAGGCACATTTAGTCCAACAAATATATCGATGATCACCAATAATAGTAATTTTGTCTGATCATATATATATTGATTTTAATTAGAATCATCAACAATCATTAGTGGCTTTCCATTGGTCACTAGAGCATTGTTGATGATTCCTGACATATAATGATAACATTGCCGTAGCTAGTATCAGGCCAAGGTATCTGTGATCATCAACAGTATTGCAATCACTAATTCTATTTGAATCATCAACAGATATTGATTCAAGATCATGAACCGTCAAACGATAGACTATCACCAAGTGAATTTCCGCCGGTGGTTATTTATTCTATTATATTTTATATTATTGTTCGCTCACTTGACAATTTTATCTAAGTACTCCAATTTCCTTGAGTGAATTATGACGGTTTGATATGATTTTGTGAATTTCATCGAATATATACTACTAACCAAAAGTCTTTATACCTACTAACTGTATTCTAATTTCATCAAAAATCATTACATATAATGAGAATTGTAATTTGTACGAGTAACTTCCACTACTTTTTTATTTCAAAAAATAGAACGTGTAACTCGATTTCAGTCTCTACAAATTCACCTTAACATAAGGTTTAACGTATAGTTAATTTTTCTTGTTACTGAGATATATTGTACTTCTCATCAATATTATCTTGAAGATCGGTTCCTTGAGGGTAGATTTATGAACTATTGAATATGGCAGAATTAGAGCTAGATTTTAGGTGGAATTAAAATTTAAAGTTTGAACTAGTCATGAGAGTTCGGGGGTGGGATAAATCATTTTTTGTACCAATTTTAAAAACAATTTTAAGACTATAATCCAATTGTTCAATACAAGTTCAACCCTGGAATGCTATATTTTGGGTCCAAAGAGTATGTATTTGAATGGGAAAAAAAGGAACTCTATTCAACGTAAGGAGCATGTTAAGAGTACATTGTAATTGTTGAATCATCTCGTTTAAAAATTTGGTTATTGAATATAAAAATCATTTATGTCTATAAAATTACATTAAAACAGATCCCGTCTTATACAAAACACCAAACTCATTTTTTATTTTAATCGAAAGTCTTGACGTGGTCTCCACAACACATGCATCTTCTTCAAACACACCAAACTTGTTTTCTTTTTCATCTAAAATCTAGATGAGCACATAACTTTTACTTACAATGATGATAAGACTTGAGTACATGAATTTTGTCTACTCTATAGTAAATCAAACCGATACCAATTCCTATAAAAAGTTGTGAAAAAGGAAACACATTGGTTGTTAAATTTAGTCATCGACATTATAGTTATTATTGCTTTTGCTAAGTCAAGTTTTATGTTCTATTTCTAAATGTTAATCTTCTTTTATGTCTTTCATTTGTTTCTATGTGAGACATGAAGTCAAGTATATAGTTCAAGCCCTTTACAAAGGCACAAAATTTTTCATTTTGGCAACTTAACATGACTTGGTGACTTTACAAACATTATTGTTGATGTACACATGTTGATTATGTAAGAAAGATTATAATAATGTCAACTAAAATATAACTCAAAATTTCCAAAACAAATGTTAAGTTGTGGGGCGAGGACAAAGCCAAAGTAATACAATTGTTTCTATTATTTATTTACAATTTTGTTTGTTGGGTTTGTGCGGTTGGGTTGAGGGAGTGGGGGGCTCCATGACTGAAAACTTCAAGAAACATTCAAAAAGACACCTAACAAAAGCTAAAATTTCTCAGAAAATTGTTAGGAACATACAACAGAGGCTAACAAATCTAAAGCGCACGCAGGGAGCTGATGGTGAGTGGAAACATAACTCAGTCGAACTCATAGGAATGCACGATGAAATAATAATCTTTTACCTCCTCAACTTTACAACTATATGAACAAAAAACCAAAATTTTTCGACAAAGCATGTGGGTCCACAATCCAAGTTCCCACACAAAAGGATTTCAATGAAATCTAAGATCAAGAAAAATAAAAAACCAGTCCTTGAGATCAGTGAATACGAAAGCTATGCACAAGAAGAGAGCGCAGAATCTATTACTCTTAGCGATCCTCCAAGGTCGAGAGGTACAAGGGGGATGAAGGAGTGCAAGACATCTGTTATCAGGGGACGATAACTTGGTTCAGGTTGTACACATAGCACAGCTATGGCAGCCACCTGCAGAAAAGGATATATTTCCTCAAAATTAGTAACTTACATTTGGAAAAACATTCATTTCAATGTGGATAAGATTTGTGGTCGGAACAAACTTGGTATAAATGCTTCAAATCCATCGTGTTTCTGATGCTGGGATCAACGATGTTCGGAAGCTTTGACCTGTCAATAAGATGAGGCATTGCCTGCTCATCCAAGATGGTAGACATTAGCACCATGTTTGGCTACACTTAACGGAAAAGTAAAATAATTTTTGTTGGACAGTTGGAACATGTTTTACTAAGCTTAGAAAATGTTAAAGCGCTCAAGGAACATTTTATTTCAAAATCCATTTGGATTGTGCAATTAACTTGGTCAAATCAGTTAATAACATGCTTCAATTTCCAATGTTACTTATAAGTGAACTTTTAAACTTAGTCAAATGTGTTTTTAAACTGTCCAAACAAAAGGATTTTTTGTTGAAAATAATAATAATAATAATAATAAATAAATAAAATAAAATCTATAAACAAGATAAAAAAACATTTAGCAAAAGAAGTGACTTAAAAGTAAAAGTAACATTTCAGCTTTAACCAAACACGACCAACTAAAAGCGTATTATAAATAATGATCAGATCTACAAACTTTCATGAAGATTTACCCAGGTAACTATCGACTGGCATTGTCCTTCAGCCACTTTCTCCACAGGCCTTCTTCCGAGTAAAAGCTCTAGAAGGATTACACCAAATGCATAGACATCACTTTTGTCCGTAAGCTTACCTGAAAGATTATTGAAGAATTAGGCAAGAATTGCTCAATTTAACGTCTAATATCTCTTTGAGCCAATGTATGCGAGATTATCCTCAAAATAGATATCCTCTTTTGTTTCTCCCTTCTCCATTTTCTTCGTCAGTTTCTATACGTGCAGTATCAGTTCATAAAACCTACATTACTAACAATGAAAGAGGTACTCCTCAAAAAGTTTGCTCTGTCTTAATATAAACACCTATGGACGAAATATACGTACATCTTCGCACACGCATTCTGACTAAGGTAATCATCTCACTATATTGTTAAATAGCAATAAATAGGCCTATATGATGACAGAAAGTTTGCTAGAGATAAAATAGAACCAACAATTCCTTGCACATTTTACGGAATGAAGTTTAATGCCACACGGTCATAAATGAATTTTTAAAGGAAAAAATCACGAATTGATAGAGCTCTGCAATGATGAATGTTACATAATAATTATCTTTTCTTTCACACAAAGGTTGCAGCTATATGGCAAAAATAATATATTTGTTTATGAGTATCTTAGCTCCTATTTCACCCAAATAACAGAGGAACATTTTTTGAAAATGAAGTTCCCCCCTTAAAAGATTGGATATCAATGGGATTCACAGGCAAAATATTGTAGGAATAGCAAACAAAGGATGAATAGAACGAGGATGAGTAAAATTATAAAATTTAGGTAACAAATTCTGCATACCATCTAAGAGGTACTCAGGAGCAACATAACCCAAAGTTCCTGAAAGCTTGATGTTTGTCTTGTTCGAGTTTCCACCCGTTATAGCAAGACCAAAATCAGAAAGCTGACCAAAAGCCAAAGTGTAGCCAAATCAAAATTTTGCCATGAACTTGGATCCAAATAATCTGATCATTTTACCTTGGCGTTGAAGTTTGAATCCAGAAGAATATTGGACGATTTAAGATCTCTATGGATCACGGGAGGGTTGCAACGCTCATGAAGGAACTCTAATCCTCTGACAAGAAAAATGACAACTCTCCATCAGTGTACAAAATAGAAAGATGATCGAGTTACTATAAAGATCATTAAAATAGGTACCTAGCGATATCCAACGCAATTTTCATCCGGATATGCCAAGTTAATGATTTTCTACGAGAAGGTCCTGACGTAATGATCGAAAAATAAATTCAGTGCTATGAATTTATATGCATGAAGTTAGTACACAATATCAATCACTCGCCCTGCTAAGTATGAGTAAGTTCGGCTAAACTTAAACAAGTAAAAGTTGTTTCCAAACATATTTGAATAAGCGACTTTTCCTTACTGATAATAAAAGAAATTTAATTATTTTTAAAGTAAATATAAGCTTGGTATCGATATAAGCAACTCGTTAATTCTCAATTTTGATCAATGTAAAAATTAATTATCATAAACTTAGTTATTTATGTATCTGTGGTCTTAAGCTTAGCCAAACATGATCTAAAAAATTGGAGCACACAATTTTTACCATGTAACTGGAATTCCAGAGAGCCATTGTGCATCAGTTCATAGACAAGGTAGTGCCCCTCGCCATGAATACAGTACCCCAAAAGCGAAACAACATTTTGATGCAGAATCTTACTCAACCATTCTATCTCATTCTGCAAAATTGATTGAAATAAAGCAGTAATGAACACCTGCAAAAAATTAACCAAATTCCAAAAGATGGATTCACAACAAGCGCAAATTTACCTCAAATTCTCTTTCAGCTACCTGTCCACCAGCAGATAGTCTTTTAACGGCTGCGTGCAAATCGTTGTCGAAGTGGGCTTTATAAACGTGTCCTGAACCACCTTCACCTAGAATATTATCTTCATGGAAATTATTTGTAGCAGCTACCAACAATGAGTACTCGATATCACCAATTGAACCTTTTTTGCTTCCAATTCTCAAAGAAGTGAACTTATCCAAAATTGGACCTAATGAGATCCCTTTTGCAGCATCCACTTATGCATATTCAAAAAAAAAAAATTACTGTTAGCAGAATATTACGAAAAGTACAATCAAGATTACTAGTATAGCCCCTCCCCATTAACTCCTTGTGCATCAACACCCCCATGGACCTACTAAAAAGGAAAGACGAGGAGAGAAGGGACGGGAGTTCTCTTGAAAAATGGTACCTGGACTCAGATTGGTTTTTTCGCGGTATTTCTTCAATCTTTTCCATCTGTAGATCGAAAAGCATGCCAGGAACAGCAAAATTACCCCAAGAAGAGAAGATGCTACAACAAGTGCAATCAGAATTTTTTTGTTCAAGTCCTGGTGATGCACTACTTTTGCCCCTGAAACTTCTGCACCATAGGAAGAAACAAGCAAAAACCCATAAGTTCATTAATTTTCCTATTCACTTTCTTTTTTAGCCAGTTTTTTTTTTTTTTTAGTGACATTTAGGCCTTATCTGGCTTTCCATTCTGGAAGTAATGCACCTTTTGCCACAGAAAAGCCACTCATATCCTCATAAAAAAGAATAAAATAAAAAATGTACATATAGAAAATTAAAAGTATAGAGAATCCTATCCCTAATAATTACACACACAATTTTTGCTCATAATTATCCCAATCTATGACTCAAATTTACAGAGCTCTCAAAATGGCGGCCAAATTTCAACAGCCCATTTCAAGTTAAACCTTCAAAAAGGATGTACTCAAATCATGTTTCAAAAATTCACTGTCCATTATTTCAATTCAAAAGCAAATGAACTTAAATGCTGTAAAGTTAACAAGTTACCTGGAGAATGAGTAACCCCAGTTGAAGAATTCACAAAAAAGGGATCTTTTTCAGTAGGAAGAACAGGATCAGCAACAGGAGGAGCAGGCCTCACATCAAGAGGAGCTGAAAACAAAGTAGAACTGAAAAACCAAATAGAAAGACACACTATAAACAGAATCTTCATGCCCCAAAATCTTGTACAGAAGAAAATGGGAACTTCTTCTTCTTCTTTTTTCTGATATTTCTGTGTTTCAAATTTGAAATGGTTTTGCGGGTTTTGTATCTTAGTGAGTATCTCAGTTTTTGATTTCTTTGGAAAAGAAGGGACAAAAACCAGACAGGAAAAGCAGAAGGGTACTTTTTTTTCCGTCCAGAAAGAAGACTGGCAAATACAACAATCATGTGGTAGTTATTAAAAGAGGAAGCACTCTTCCTTGTTCTTAGCACATCAAGAGAGTCACGTTCTGTGACCTTCTGTCACGTAAAAAAGAAAGGCTTTTTGGAAATTATCTAAGGTCCCTGCATTTCATATTTCTAATTTTACGAAAGTTACTTTTCAGTCTAAATAATTCTATTTTTATAAAAAAAATTAATTTACTTAGCAGTAAGAATTTCGAATTATTTAGATATTTTACTAAATTAATCGATCTATTTGGATACTCTCTCATCCTTTATGCTCACATTTCAAAATAATTAGACACTCCTCAAGGCTCAAACTAAACTAGACAAAGTGACGATAGTTTCTAGTTCATTTAGACAATTCAATTTTATGGCTAGATAACATTTGAGCCCTGCTTAACGAATATCGGGTTTGACAATGGGGATGACCGCATGCACACACAGGGAGGTCGGACATTATTTTATTCACGCACGATCCACGCATCCATGTGAGTATGCGGTCATCCTCGTAGGTGGTTTCGCTTTTTCCATAACATTTATGTAAAAGAATTAAGCTAGTTGCAAACCCTTGTGTACAACTAGTTTGACACCTTTTGAGATGTCAAAATTCAGATCATTGATTTAAATAAATGTTGTTAAAATTAATGATAAAATTGTATGTCATGTCAAAAAGTGTAAGTAAAGTTGTCAATCATGGAATAAATATAGCAAAACTGTATGTAAAATGGCATGACAATCATTTTGTATGATTAAATGACTATATTTTGCTCATATTTGATTCTGCTGCAAAAATAATTAAAATTTAGGTCAAAGTTGACATTTATTTTCATCGTACATTTTATTAGACCTACTACTTTTAATTCACATATTCCATTTTTTATTAAAATTTATTAAATATTTAATTTTTATCTAAACCAAACAAGGACTTAATAAAGAAATTTACAAAAAGCAAATTTCATTCTTATTAATAAAATTTAAATACTTACAATTATTTCCATTTGGCTAAGCTTATTTCACATTAGCGTCGGATTGATCCTTCTAATCGCTCTTTCTAATAAAATTAGTGAAAAATAAATCGCATTTATCGCTTAAGTATTAGGTGGAAAATCTTTGTTTAAGTCACTCAAAATCAAAATACCTTTTGTAATTAAATAACAGGCTAAAAGTAAATCTAAACATAAAAAGATGTAATGAAGACTTATTTTGCATTGTTTAGATAAAAGCATGCACCTAAATTTTGTGACAACTATCACCCTAATTTTGTATATTGCCTTAGATATTTCTAACTCTTGTTTGAGCCCCATTCTTTTTTCAAATATGCATTTTTAAATAGTATATTGATGCAAAATATGTAGTTAAAAAATAAGAATAAATTTTGAATTTGCATATAATATTATTTTATTGAAAAATATGTAGTTAAAATGATGTCAAAACACAATTTAAATTTTTTTTTTTTTCAAAAGAATGGGGATCAAACAGTCTTTATCTTTAATATTTGTAGAGACCTTGAATTTGATAGTTTGGACCTTTAGATAATTTATTAAGTCCCTGTCTGATTCTCATGCTTTGAAAAAAAAATTATTTTTAAACAGTATTTTGACGTCATTTCAATCACACATTTTTCAAAAAAAATAATATTACACTTAAATCTAAACTTTTTCCTTATTTTTTAATCACACATTTCTCATCAATTCACTATTCAAAAATCCATTCTCATAGAATGGAGCTCAAACAAGGGCTAAGTAGTCGAATTTCGCTCAAAAAACTTGTATCTAATTCAGTAGATACAACACTAATTATGGGAAAAAATAAATTAAATTAAAAAATCACAAAGTCAACATAAAAGTATTGTCCAAATATACAAGAAGGCCATCTATTCATAACGTAAATAATTAAAACACGCACAATATAGTTGAAAAAAGATAGGGCAAGTTGTTGAAGCGGTGGAAGAAGATTAGGAGGGTGTGACATGATGTGTCCTTGTCAATTGTTAAAGTCCATTCTTGTTTTTGAAAGTTTAAAGTCACGAGGTTGATTGTCCTTTACAAGAAATTTTAAACCATTTACCTAATTTAGTCATTTACTTTGCAAACAAAATAGAAAATACTACATTGATCGACTATCTATAACATATACATTTATTACTCTAAAACTTTGAATTAAGAAAGCCAATTACAATGCTGCATAATTTATTTTTGTGTATTCTTACAATATGAGGGGCAAATATCTATCATATATTATTGCTAGAAAACATTAAACAATATTATCAATTGTATAATAGAATCATGTTTAATAATGCAAACAAATAGAGTTAATTGTTTCATTGGTCATTGAACTTATGTTTGTTTTCAATTGCTCATTGAAACTTAAGATGTCGAGTTTTGGACAATATACTTCGAAGACCGTTGGACGTTACTCATTGGAATAACATATATATAAAACATTTAAAGGAATTGATGATGTGGTTGACAAAATGTACACGTAGCACCCCGTCATTCTGTAAAACTTTGAGATGATCAAATTTTGGTCACTAAACTTTAAAAAATATCTTTGATTATTCACTAAACTTTGAAAGACGTCTTTTATTGTTCATTAAATTTTGAGATAGTCAAATTTTGGCCACTAAATTTTGAAAAATGTCTTTTATTACTCAATAAACGGTAAAAAAAAAAGGTCTTTCATTGCTCACTGAATTTTGAGGCGGTTGAATTTTGGCTACCAAACTTTGAGATGGTCAAATTTTGACCGCTGAAATTTAAAAAAAATCTTCTATTAATCACAACAATTTTGAATCTAATTAAAATTTGAATTTAATTTAATTCCAACTATTGTGTGTTTCGTTATAAAATTCAAATATTAAAGTTTAAATTTAATTTAATTTTAATAAAAAATTTATTGTGTATTTCGTATCAATTAGCAATCACTTTCTTTGCCCAATTTTGCAAGCGTTGTTTATCATAATATTTGAATTTTGCAACGAATTATACAATAATTTTGTTATTAAACTTAAATTAAATGAAAATTCTAATATTTGAAGTTTACAATGAAACACATAATAGCCCTTGTTTGTGGTAAGGATTAAAATAAAATTTTAGTAGATTTTAATAAAATTCGATGAAATGTATTGTTGAAAAGTTGTGGGTTCCATAAAATATGTGGTTAAGATTAATGAATTTGATAAAATCTAATGGGTTAACTTTGTTGTTAGAACTAAATTAAATTCAAATTTTAATCCAAAATTTAACTACAAATTTTAATTAAATCCAAATTTATTGTAAGGAATAGAAGACATTTTTCTAAATGTAGTAATCAAAATTCAACCATCTCAAAGTTTAGTAGTCAAAATTCGACCGCCTAAAGTTCAATGAGTAATAGAAGATTTTTTTTATTATTTTTTTTAAATTAAGTAAGCAACAAAAATATTTTTCAAAGTTTTGTGGTCAAAATTCGACCATCTTAAAGATCAATGGTCAAAATTCAATTATCTTAAAGTTTGTGAGCAATAAAAGACGTTTTCTCAAAATTTAGTGAACAATCGAAAACGTTTTTCAAAGTTTAGTTACCAAAATTCAATAATCTCAAAGTTTAACAGCGTGGTGAGGCGCCATGTGTACATTCCATTAGCAACATCACCAATTTCGTTAGAAGTTGTAAACGAATGTTATATCGATAAGTAACGTACAACGTTTTTCAAAGTTATGTGGCCAAAATTAGACATCTTAAACTTTAATGAGCAATTATATATATATATATATATATAGTGCAGCTCTATTTAATTTTAAATTATTAATCACGTTAAGAAAATCAAATAAGATATTTTGCTTGTGTGGTAAGCTTAGAAAATTATTAAAAAGTTTACATATCAAAGTAAGTTACGTATTTTATATCAAAGTAAGTAATTTATTTTAATTATACATTTCACGATACTTATAATTTTTTATTGATTTTTGAACTACATGTTTCATAAAAAAAAAAATCAAAATTTATTAAAATTTTGTTAGCTAATTCTATTGTGTCTGTCATATAATTTGTTAGACACTACACATTTGTCCAATAAGTTGAGCAAAAAAAATTAGCCTCATGATTGATTTGACTATTAGTGTAACTAATGCATGCATTATCGTGTCCAACTGGATTAGCATTAAAAGACAAAAAGTCATTTTAATAACGTAATAATAAATTAGGAGTGGCTTGGTTTAGAGATCACATAAATGTTTTCGTGTATATTAAAATCAGATTAAAATTTCAAGTCAAAGTTAATAATTAATTTTAATCATATATTTTATCATTTTTTATTAAAATTTATTAAAAATTTAATTTTAATCCATACCGAAAGTAATTTTAAATTTTAATGGCATGTGCATACCATTTATCTAAAATTTTAAGCCCTTCTTTGATCCTCGTTATTTTAAAAATACATTTTGCTCTCAACCACATATTTTTCATTAATCTACTATTTTAAAATGCATTCTTAACTAAAAATATGGCACAAACAGGCTCTAAATGTCTATTGATTTTCGCGAGCTGGTTTTAAAATTGCAGTCGAATTATTTGGATCACTCATTCGTTACTTCTAGCAAGTTTAGTGTAAAGTTATCGCTTAGAATTTAGATATGGTCATAAATACATGAAAATTAATTTTATTTTTATAATTGAAAAGGTATTGATGTAATCAATCACTTGCATCATTTATTCCAAAACCATAGATTTTGGATGCTTTTAAAATCACGAAATTGGCGCTAAAATAATAAAAGTGAAAAGTGCAACAAAAAAGTGTAAATGTTATGATTGTGCAAAAAGCTATAATTTATGCGAGAAATAATAATTGTTCCAACGTTATGCATTCCATTACGACAAATTAAAAATTAAATTTCCTTAATAATATACGAATTACTATACCTAATGTTCGACCGTAGGATTATACAACACTGTAATATTTAATTCATCAAGAAAGAGAGAAAAATCGTGGGAAAAGAAAGAGTCAAAACAAAGATCTTCTTG